CGAGTAGATAAAACTAATTAGCACGAGTTTCAGAACCCTGAATATTAAAAAAAAAAAAAATCAATGTCTCAATTATGCAAACATAAAGTAAACCGGATAAAATCTTAGTTACACCTTCCAAGGAATTTCAAAAGTTGCAGTAACTAATTCTAGATTCATTTTACATGTTAACTCAACCTAAATCGTAATCATCCATGTCTTTCTTCTTACAGTTAAAATTGCCTTCTATTATCCATACATTACCTCAACAGTCAACAGTCAAGAGTGTGTGTTTGTACGTGTTTTGATGAATAAAAAATCTCCTATACTTTCGAACGAAACAATAGATAACACATGTATCAAGATAAATCAACAACTGGCAATCGAAAACTAGAATTTAAAATAACTAAGTGACTAATCGCATTTCTTTCTTCGTTATATGAATAACTTCCAGATAATCTTCGTAATGCAAGCCAATCAGGTGCACTCGATTACCTTAACCCACTAGTCACTACCATCTACATACTACACTCCATTTTACCACATATTCATCCAACAGAAGCACCTTGGATTTAAAATAATCGTCAATACTCGATACTGTTATCTAATTAAACATTAAAATCCCTTCAACAAAGGCTAACTTCACAGAAAATACACGAAAAAAGGTTTATTGCAAAAAAAAAAAAAAAAAAAAAAAAAAAAAAAAAAAAAAAAAAATTTGAAGAAACGCACCCGGAGCAATTGGTAGAGCTTTTCTGTGCTGCTCAAGCTTTTGCCTCCTGCGAAACAAAATTAAAATTATACATACAACCACTGATTTGCAGACGAATACAATTACATAACTAAATCATATGTATATGTGATTGAACAAAAAAAAACCTGGCGACGAAGTCGGGTTTAGTAGGTCCATTGAGTTGATTGAATTTCCTCTTCGCAGTGTGTGCGGAATTATTCGAAGCCATTGAAGGCATGGCTAATTAGACCAATTACAAATAATTGTTAGAAAAATAAATAAGTACGATCTCGTTCGCCGGAGCTGTGTACCGGAGTAGGGTTTTCGGTGACCGGTATCTGCTTTGCGGCGGGGCTTCACAGGAAGGAAAAAACGGCGACGGAAACCTCTATATTAACTTGACGGAAACCTGGCGTGAGATTAGGTGTGGGCCAGGGCTGGCAATATAATATAATAGGGGCGCTAGTGTAAATTTCTAAATCTGATTGGGTCGAATTGTAATTACGCATAACTCTAAGGGTGCTAGATGCAATTATATGTCGGCTCTGGTTTCAGCATATCATTGTGCCCAGGGTCCAGTTTTCATGTTGACTTGAACACCGGAAAACCGACAACCCCCAATCCGCGCCACCGCCACCGACATCGAGTACCGTACATCTCCGCCGTGCCGGCTGGCGGCGCCGCCATCAGATTCGGGATGAAGCAAAAATCATGGTCGTGCAGCTCAGGCAGCCCTCACTTTGCCCCCTTACCCTTCATAAAAAAGCGCAACAATTCCCCAACTTCGAAGAAACAATCGAAACCCCGCATCTCGTATTTCAATTC